GGGGGGGGGACTGACCCCCCCTCCCAACACCCTTTGGGGCTCTGTCTGTCCTGTCTGTCCATCCGTCCGTCCTTCCCGTCTCCGCTTCAGCCTCTGACGCTGGACTGACTCCGCCTGCGAAACCCCCCCAGGAGCTGCTGGGCTTTGGGATTTTGGTGGTTTGGGGTTTTTTTTAGGTGGGGGGGGGGCCTGCCCCCACCCTGGGATAAGCAGTGGGTGCTGTGGCTGCCATGTCTGTCTGTCCGTCCGTCCGTCCTTCCCATCTCCCATTCAGCCTCTGACGCCGGACTGACTCCGCCTGCCAACCCCCAGGAGCTGCCGGGCTTTGGGATTTTGGTGGTTTGGGGTTCTTTTTGGTGTGGGGGGGGCCTGCCCCCTCCCTGGTGGGTGCTGTGGCTGCCATGTCTGTCTGTCCGTCCGTCTGTCCTTCCCATCTCCCATTCAGCCTCTGACGCCGGACTGACTCCGCCTGCCAACCCCCAGGAGCTGCCGGGCTTTGGGATTTTGGTGGTTTGGGGTTCTTTTTGGTGTGGGGGGGGCCTGCCCCCTCCCTGGTGGGTGCTGTGGCTGCCATGTCTGTCTGTCCGTCCGTCTGTCCTTCCCATCTCCCATTCAGCCTCTGACGCCGGACTGACTCCGCCTGCCAACCCCCAGGAGCTGCCGGGCTTTGGGATTTTGGTGGTTTGGGGTTCTTTTTGGTGTGGGGGGGGCCTGCCCCCTCCCTGGTGGGTGCTGTGGCTGCCATGTCTGTCTGTCCGTCCGTCTGTCCTTCCCATCTCCCATTCAGCCTCTGACGCCGGACTGACTCCGCCTGCCAACCCCCAGGAGCTGCGGGGCTTTGGGATTCTGGTGGTTTGGGGTTTTTTTTGGTTGGGGGGGGGCCTGCCCCCACCCTGGTGGGTGCTGTGGCTGCCATGTCCGTCCGTCCATCCGTCCTTCCCATCTCTGCTTCAGCCTCTGACGCTGGACTGACTCCGCCTGCGAAACCCCCCCTGGAGCTGTGGGGCTTTGGGATTTTGGTGGTTTGGGGTTTTTTTTGGTGTGGGGGGGGCCTGCCCCCACCCTGGTGGGTGCTGTGGCTGCCATGTCTGTCTGTCCATCCGTCCGTCCTTCCCGTCTCCGCTTCTGACGCTGCCGGACTGACTCCGCCTGCGAAACCCCCCCCGGAGCTGCAGGGCTTTGGGATTCTGGTGGTTTGGGGTTTTTTTTGGTTGGGGGGGGGCCTGCCCCCACCCTGGTGGGTGCTGTGGCTGCCATGTCCGTCCGTCCATCCGTCCTTCCCATCTCTGCTTCAGCCTCTGACGCTGGACTGACTCTGCCTGCGAAACCCCCCCCTGGAGCTGCCGCGCTTGTCGCTCTGGGGATTCCGGTGGGTTTTTTGGGTTTGTTTTTGGTTTTTTTTATGGTTTGGAAAAGGCGCCGGGTGCTGTGGCTGCTGCGTGTGTCCATCTGTCTGTCCATCTGTGCGTCCGCCCTGCATTAAAACTCTTTTTCACACCCCCTTCCGCCAAAAAACATCCCCAGGGACTGGTCTCTCTCCCTGTAGAGATGGGGGGGGGGAAGGATGTGGGGCCGGGATGATGATGCTCTGGGCTTGGAAAACTGGGTGGGGGGGAAAAGTACAGGCTCCCCCCTCCCGGCCGATCTGTGGGGCAGGATCAGGCCCCATGGCAGC